TTAATTGGGAAACTCTGGACTAGGATATTTGAAATTCATTTACTAGCACCATTTCTGGTAGGAGAGCTGGTCACCCGAAAGCTTTTTCGTTAACCCTCTTGGGACGTAACCCTCTTGATCTCTCGCTGACTAGCAGTGAATCTGACACTGACGAAAACAATCAGGAAAGTAATGAAGACAATCAAAATGATGTTTATGATAAAACTAGCAGTGAATCTGACACTGACGAAAACAATCAGGAAAGTAATGAAGACAATCAAAATGATGTTTATGATAATGTTGTGAATCCTTGGATTAGGATTAGTGGTTCTGAATTGGATAGAGATGATCCCTATGAATTTTTAGAAAAAAATAGAGCCTTTAAATATGCCTCATGGGATAAGCACCCCATTTGAGTACTTATGCTAATTTTTACACAATATATCATTAAAATGTTTGTGAGAGAGAATAATAATAATAACTAATAAGTATGCAGACAACTTTCTCAGTAACACCCAGCTCAAATAAACCATATTTGGATGCACAATGGTGAAAAGGACCGCTCTGTCTGAAGCAACCGAAAAGTACCCCGAGAGCAGGAATAGGAGTAGAACTCTGTGCCAGGGGTGTCTAAAGGGCCTCCATGGGCCTTATTTCCCAAAACACATGTTAGGATCCATTCATGCTTCATCCATCAAAAAATTCACATAATTTAATAATTTACACCGGTAAGTCATGTTTATTCTCAGTCGAAATCGACGAGTCTGTTTACACGCAAGAAAAATCATGTCTGGCGAGTTTTGCCACAACAATTGGTCTTTGGAGGTATTTGTCAGGAGATTAGTGAGTGTTTCATGTTTTGTGTACAAGATAGATCAGCAGCTACACATCACACTTATGCTGATAATCACAGCACACATCCTGCTGGGCACAACAGTCATATCAGATCAATGGAGAGCATATAATGCAATTGGCACCACTCCGGGATTGACTCATCAAACGGTCATTCATTCTGTTAAGTTTTTGGATCCAAACTCAAGTGCCAATAGCCAATATCCAAAGCATTGAACGTTTGTGGAAATCTGCAAAAGAGAGAAACAAGCGCCACAATGGCACACACAGACATATGCTCAATTTGTATATGTGTATTCATGTGGACATGTGGCATCAACGTCTTAACCAGTAACTTCCCGTATCCCCCGCCATCGCCCGCTAGCGTTTTATACCGTATCGCCCGCCATCGCCGGCTATATATAATTCCAAATGAACGATGTGTTGGACCAGAAAACATTGGTATGAAATAATAAACCAGCTATAGTATGAAAGTAGAAAAGTTCTACTTCCTTTTCCTTTTTACGGGAACGAATTACATTGAGAGACACGCGAGCTACAGATTTTTGAAAATCATTGAATTTGAAGCATGGCTTTCCGATTTTTAGAAATAATTTTAATCAAAGTGATAGCGATAGTGATTCCAATGAGAGTGACATTGAAAATGGATTTGGTGAAACTCCTGATGAAAGTGTTTTTGGTAGTGGTAGCAATCAGAGTAGCAATCTTGATAGTGAGAGCTCTGACGACGACGATAGTGAAGTTACTACTACTACTCAGTCTTTTCCTTGGAGTGCTACGCTCAATCCAGTGGAAATTGAGATGTTTACATCAGGTGTTGGGCCTAATATTGTAAACATGAATATTGATCATCAGGCTCAGCCAGTGGAATTTTTAAAATTATTTTTTCCTGATGAAATTATACAAATGATTTCTGACCAGACCAATTTGTACGCTGCCTACAGGAATGCAAACTATTTCACTCCTGTCACTGTCAGTGACATTCACACATTTATATATATCAATATGATGTTTGGTGTGCACAAACTACCAGCATACACCATGTACTGGTCAACAGATCCTCTGTGAAAAGTATCCAGTGTGGAAGATATTATGTCGAGAAATAGGTATCAAGAAATATATCGATACTTTCACCTGGCTGACAGCAGGAATTATATCCCGAAAGGCCAAGATGGGTACGATCAATTGTATAAAATCAGACCAGTTAACACAGCTGTAAAAGATGCCTGTAATACATTATACAGACCTGGAGCTGCTATAGCTTTTGACGAAGCTATGATACCTTTCAGAGGCAGACTGTCTTTCAAACAATATATAAAAGGAAAGCCCCACCCATGGGGTGTCAAAGTATGGTGCTGCTGTGACTCGGCGACATCATTCCTTTTAGACTTTGATTTTTACAAAGGGAAATCCGACACCATTATGCCCAATGGACTAGGCTACAATGTCATACAAAAATTAGGCAACAGATACCTAAATAAAAATCATCATTTTTATTTTGACAATTTTTTTTCGTCGGTGCAGTTGGCATCGGATTTTTATCAAGTGGCACATATTCATGTGCGACAACTCGACAAAACAGGAGACACTGGCCCAAGGACCTCAAGGGTAAAATAAAAAAGAACCAATGTGAAATGAGGCAGATAGGGAGTCTGGTTGCATGTTGGTGGAGAGACAAACGTGCGATCTCCATGATTTCAATCAACGTGTCGCCTACACTAGGCACTGCATCACGCCGTACAAAAGATGGCCCTATTGATAAACAGATCCCCCAGTCTGTACTTATCTACAATGCTAATATGGGTCGGGTGGACAGACATGATCAGCTAAGATCATATTATCCTATTGGCAGAAAAAGCCACAAGTGGTGGAGATGTTGTTTGTGGTTGAGACGGCAGCACTGAATGCGTATATTTTATACAAAAATATTCCACATCCCCCGACATCAAAGCCAGTGTCGCATTTGAATTTCCATTTGGACATTGCTCGCAGCCTCATGAAGGGTTCTTCAAGGAAAAGAAGACAGGCGGAGGTCCTTGCTGTTGGTGGATTGGCTGTTCCTGGAACTTCTTTGGAGCATCGGAGAATTCGACTCTCAGGGCGCAAAAAACAATGTTTTCAGTGTCGGCAGAAAAACGTTCGAACTGAATCGAATAAAAGACCTGAAACTGTTTTTGGGTGTGTGTTGTGTAACACACACCTTTGTGATGAGCTCTGTTTTGCTCAGTTCCATGCTAAGTTAAACTAAGGTATTTATTTATCAATAAATGTACAGAAATTGTCATGACAAATTGAATTTTTTGCATATTTTCTAACATTTTAATTTTTTTTTGTATGTACATTTTTAGTACACCCATACATATTTGGTTTCATCTGATAGATTATTCATTTCTCTACATAATGCAATTTTGTTCACATCAATTGGATTTTAAATTAGCGAGATGCGTTAATTTTGTAAAAGAACTCAATTTATTCCCCTTACGTTGGGATAATATAAATATTTTGTGGTCAAGCCAATGGGAAGTTATTGGTTAAAGTAAATGGTTTCTATGTCTTCAACGCAATTCTAGACGATATTGTTCAATTTTGGTCATTACAGTAGCGGAGGACCTTTAAAGAAGTAAGTATGTTTTTATTCAAAATAATTGTTTTATTGGAATTGTGAAACAATGTATAATAATTTTTTAATTAAATGTTTTTTAGGCTAATTCAGATTGATTAGGTTTAGGGATACATTTTAGGGTTCATGTTAGGTTTAGGGATACATTTATGGTTCAGGTTAGTTTAGGGATACATTTAGGACAAAAGTTCGTGGGTCACGATAACCAAGATGGCGGCCGCGGGTTGATCTCTCCGAATTGTTTTTAGCCATTTTATTTTATTCAAAAGAACATTTGTTTCATGGGAAAGGTGAATATAATAATAATTTTTGCGGTGAATTAAAATTGAAGTACCCACTTCTGATACAGGGTCCGAATAGTCGCAGCCAAACTTTTCATTACAATTACAGATAAGACAGTAGCCGATTTGCCGCCAAAAATAAAAAAAAGCAGCTTTGATCTTGAATCTTGATTGATGTCATGTTAATGATTATAGAACTATATTTAAAATAGAATTTTAAAATACAATAAAATTATAAATATAAACGTATTCTTACTTGCTTTTAGATATACGCACGTTGTTCTTCGTGTTTCATCAACGCCAAATGAAATTCTTCAAAATGTGGCACATTGCTCGATTGATAACAATGGCTCTAAGTCTAAGATGGAAACCAACAGGAAGTATCCGTCATAACTATCACGTGACCAACCGAATAATCTAAAGCCCTCACGTGACCAGCCGGATCCGAATAGCCAGTTGCTGCTATGGGTACCTGGGTACCTATAGCCACTCCGTTTTAAAATAGCGAACTTTGCGGGTTTTGATTTTAAAAACTAGTAAAATATTGTGAAATAGCACTTCATAGATGAGCCAAGGGGACTAACTCATTTTTTTTTAAAAAATCGACTTAGCAGGGTTTGCAATTGGACTCCTCAAATGTAATGTTAATTTTTTTTTAATGTTCAAGATGTCAGGTGCTCTGGCGTGTCCTGTCATGCCCTGGCATGTCCTGTCGTGCCCTGGCGTGTCCTGTCATGCTTTGGCGTGTCCTGGCGTGTCCAATGATGATACAAGGCTACACATCGGATGATAATGAGCGTGTTGGACACGAATATACATTTGGCAATGTTACTACGACGTAACACAGTTACGAAAGATGAACACGTCCAAGAACGAATTAATTTCCCTTAATGTAAGGTAAACAAAGAAACGGCACAAAACCTATATTAAACACGTACGGGAGAAAAGTTCTCAGGCAAATATGCGGGCCAACAAAGGATGAATATGGATGGAGAATACGAACCAACCAGGAATTATATAGTCTATATCAGGAATCCACGCAGTAGCCGAAATAAAAATGAAATGGGCAGGCTGCGATGGGCTGGATTCTTAAAAAGAATACCAAATGAGAGTGAAGAGTGTACATCACCAAAACCCTAGAGGAAAACGGCTCCATTAAACGTTACACACCAAAAGGGAAAACCCGCAAATTTGTCTTACTTGAAACTTGTTAGTGCTGTGCGGTGCGCGGTCCTTTGACGTCACACAAGTTAGTACAATCGGCAGAGTGGAAATCCATCTTAACGCTGTAGATAAAGAAACTGTGTAGCAACTAGCATCCCAATTTGTTTGAACTATTTCATTAGGGTAAGCTGAAATGTCTGCCTCAATCATGATTACTCGCCTTAGTTGGCACGTTCTCTCACGTCTTTAGAATGATTCTCTCATACAAACTTTGGGAACATGGGATTGGGAACTAATGATATCGGATGTCCTTAAGCCTTAGTTATACAATATTTAATTTATTCGGGGTGGGGGGGGGGTGGGGGAAAGAGAGAACTGTCAGAACAAAATAATAATTAATAATAACATGTAATTATTTTGTAATAATATTAAGTATTGACAGAATGCTGTAAAAAATTAATAAATATTCTCTAAAATTTAAGACCTCTTTAGGGTTGAGAATCGATTATAATTATATCGTGCTGGTTCACCTGTTTGTTCGCTATCTTAATTTACCCTAATTTTCATGGTCATAGGTTTTTGTAATCTACAATAATATTTCACAGAACAGATTTCTTAAGTTTATTTTCGTTTCTTTCTATGCGTTCTCAAAGCGTCAAAAGTTTGCTTTTTTATTTACCTAAAAAAACTCTGGCGTATTTACACGAAACAAAAGCTAATCATCAAATTGATAAGATGCGTCCACAACTTTCCGCTACCTTGGTTGCATGTCAACAAATTCTAATACCTAGGTTTCATGTAAACAATTCTACTACCCTGTTTTCATGTCAACAAATTCTAATTCCTTGGTTTCATGTCAAAAAATTGTACTACCTTGGTTTCATGTCAACAAATTCTAATACCTTGGTTTCATGTCAACAACTTCTAATACCTTGGTTTCATGTCAACAAATTCTAATACCTTGGTTTCATGTCAACAAATTCTAATACCTTGGTTTCATGTCAACAATTCTACTACCTTAGTGTCATGTCAACAAAGTCTAATACCTAGGTTTCACGTAAACAATTCTACAACCCTGTTTTCATGTCAACAAACTCTACTGCTCCACAAACTATAGTAACCGCGCTTTCAATCAGCTAATCACATAAACACAGGGCGCCGCGGCCATAGTGAATATTGAAATACCCGTAGATTATTGAAGTTGAAATGTGAATCTCGGGTCCTGGGTCGAAAAACGGTATCCAAAACTTTTCGTACAATCGCTTTTCATACCATGAGTTTTCATACCATTAAAGTCGCATTCTTAATTTGAATACCAACACTGAGGTTGGGACCAACCGACAGGACGTGGAAATTAATTTATTCATACCGAAGGGGGCGCCGAACGGGTGCTTCGCACAGGGCAAATGTTTACCTTAGGCCGGCGTTGCATAAACACATCATTTATTTAAGTATTTTCGTTTTTTGGGGGGTTTTTTTGGTGCTTCTTTAAAATGACAAAAGCTTTTGGAGTCTTGATAAAAGAATTAAAACTACCAACTATTTCCTTTGGGACACAGTGAACCTCCCAAGGGGGCATATTGAAGCCGACAAGTAAACCTTCTCATGATGGAAGCATTATTAGGTGACCCGAAGAAGACGTTCAACAACCCGGACAAGCTCTACCCGCCCCGCCTAAACTCCACCAGCAGGATCCACTCGTCCTTGTCGTCGGGCATGAGCCAGGCGCTGAGCGAGCCCCAGTCCTCGGTCAAGCCCGCGCAGCTGGCGTGCAGGGTCAGGGACGCCGGCCGGGACTTTCTCGAGCACAACCAGACGTGCCAGTGGATTCAGTTCATGACCGAGGACTGCCCCGAGGCGGCGCCCGAGAGGAAAGACCGTCGCCAGCGGTGCATGGTCACCCGGAAGCACAGCCTGCTGAAGAACAACGACATCTTCCCCAAGGACGTGGAGGTGCCGCTACCGGCCGCAAACCTGCACTGGCGGGGTGAGAGCGAGGAGAGGAGCGGCGCCGCCAAGGCAGCCGTTACCGGCGATGTTCTCGAAAAGGATGAAGACGGTCAGGCCCCGCTCGCCAAGGACGACATGATGCTGGACGAGCAGTACGTGATCCTGAAGAAGCACCAGGAGGATCTCACCAACCAGCAGCGCATCGTCCAGGAGCAGATGGACCACAGGGTGGCCGAGCAGAAGGATCACCAGAGACAGCGCCTGAACAAAGAACTCACGATCCAAGAGCAGCCGCAAGAAAACATTCAGTTAGCGGACCGGCCCCCGATGGATCAGAGGGAGACTGACATTGCGAAGGAGATCAAAAGGCGGACAGCCATCGCACCATTGATTAGGCGTAGACTAAAGGTGAGCGTAGATTCCCACCGCCCCATTATGTAGGCGTAGATGCAAGCTCTAGGCAACCACCGTCTGAGTGTGTAGACGAAACTATAGATCTAAGCTATAGACAATAACCGCCCCATTATGTAGACGAAGACTAGATGTAGGTGTAAGCTGTTGGCAACCACCACCCCTATTATGTAAGAGAAGACTGGATGTAAGCCATAGGCAACCACCAGCCCCATTATGTAAGGAAGACTAGATGTAAGCTATAGGCAACCACCACCCCCATTATGTAAGAGAAGACTGGATGTAAGCTATAGGCAACCACCAGCCCCATTATGTAAGGAAGACTAGATGTAAGCTATAGGCAACCACCACCCCCATTATGTAAGAGAAGACTGGATGTAAGCTATAGGAATAGACTAAACGTAAGAGTGAATATCATCCGCTGAAATACTAGTAGATGTTATAATTTTTCAAGCAAACTTTTATTCGAATGACATGTTTCCAGTTTTGTACAATTTTTATGACGTTTTGTAACCACGTCATTCTCAATTTCGATGATAAAAAAAAAAAAAAAAACTTTCTGATTTGAGATGTGGAAATAGTAAAATAATATTTTATTTCATTTTGAAGCTGCATATACCAATACTCCCAAGTAGAAGTGGGAATCGAGCCCTCTATTAGAAGTTAGGAGTTTGGGTTCGGTTGGGTCACAGCTTTTAAGTTCGGGTTCGGTTCCCTTCACCGACTTACAAGCCCCCCTCATCCTCTCAGTGACTCTTTCCAGGGGACCCTGGCCAACTCCTGCGCCATAAGGGATGAGGGCTCCGTCGGCGGACTCATCTGGCATCTGGACGGTGCGGGATCAGAGCCCAGACCAGCCAGGTGCGCCTCCACTTCTTCACAGTCCCCACGTAAGTACAGTGCGTCTGTGTGTCCATCCACTGCCTCACAATCCCCACGTTAGTACACCCCACGTTAGTACAGTGTGTCCATCCACTGCCTCACAATCCCCACGTTAGCACAGTGTTTCAGTGTGTCCATCCACTGCCTCACAATCCCCACGTTAGCACAGTGTTTCAGTGTGTCCATCCACTGCCTCACAATCCCCACGTTAGCACAGTGTGTCAGTGTGTCCATCCACTGCCTCACTGTTTCAGTATGTCCATCCACTGCCTCACTGTCTCCACATAAGTATGTACAGTGTCCACGTAATTACATAGCATTCGAAAGAGATAATGTGACGAGGTTTAAAAAAAAAAAAACAATCATGAAAATAAAAATAGATCTGTATTTCAAACACACAAAAAGACACTGATTGATTTTTTGGGTGTCACTGACAAAGCTGTGTAAATTAGCTTTCCGCCCGAGGGAGGGGGGGGGGCAGCGTCTGGACTCCGGAATCTGCTACAGCGATTGACAAAATAAAGTTGACAAGAAGTAGTGACAGTAGTAGTGACAGTAGTAGTGACATTAGTAGTGACAGTAGTAGTGACACTGCTAATGACAGTAATTATGACAGTAGTAGTGACATTACTAGTGACAGTAGTAGTGACATTAGCAGTCACAGTACTAGTGACAGTAGTAGCAACCGTAGTAGTGACAGTAGTAGCAACCGTAGTAGCAACCGTAGTAGTGACAGTAGTAGTGACAGTAGTAGTGACACTGCTAATGACAGTAATTATGACAGTAGTAGTGACATTACTAGTGACAGTAGTAGTGACATTAGCAGTCACAGTACTAGTGACAGTAGTAGCAACCGTAGTAGTGACAGTAGTAGCAACCGTAGTAGTGACAGTAGTAGTGACCGTAGTAGTGATAGTAGTAGTGACAGTAGTAGTGACAGTAGTATTGACAGTAGTAGTGACAGTAGTAGTGACAGTAGTAGTGACAATTGTGGTGACACTGCTAATGACAGTAATTGTGACAGTAGTAGTGACATTATCAGTCAAAGTACTAGTGACAGTAGTAGCAACCGTAGTAGTGACAGTAGTAGTGACAGAATTAGTGACAGATGTAAAGACAGTAATAGTGACCGTAATAGTGACAGGTGAAATGACAGTAATAGTGACAGAATTAGTGACAGATGTAATGACAGTAGTAGTGACAGGTGAAATGACAGTAATAGTGACAGTAGTAGTGACAGGTGAAATGACAGTATTAGTGACAGTAATAGTGACAGGTGTAATGACAGTAATAGTGACAGTAGTGCTTGGAGTATTCCTAACTTACCGACCACTTTGACAACCTTCCTCCCAAACTTGCATACAACCCTACCACAACCCACGTGCTGTTTCTCCACACAAAAGTATATACAGAAAACACGTAAACCTTTGTATAGGCCTATATGATGAAGTGAAAAATAAAGAAATATCACAACAAAAAAATTAGTTTGAAAAAAAAAAAATTTAACCCGAAATTAATTTGCATTCGAAAACATTCTGTAATTGGGTGCGAAATTCACATATTTTGTGTCTTTGTGTGAGCATGAGTGTAAGTGTGAGTAAGCGACTGTAAGTGTGTGTGATTGTGTGCGTGAGAGAATGTAAGTGTGTGCGTTTGTGTGAGTGTGTGCGCATCGTCGCTATTCGGGCCCGGGTCCCTTTAGACTCTATGCTATTTGGATGTCATTTGTGGTAGTTTATTTTAGTTAAACGGAAGAATTAAGTTTACAAACATATATTCCATTCAATTATCATTTGATACCAAATTTTGTCTAACAACCTAACAGTAGTATTTTTTTAAATTTTAATTCCAACCTCTAGCTTCTCGGACCCGGGTCCAAATAGCCACTTCGTTACAATAACGTTGTAGCAGTTACTAAGGTACTATAGTAGCACTAACAGCTACCACTGTATCGCAGTCGTAGCAGTTACAATAACTTGTGTAAAGCAGGGATGATAAATGTTTTGTAGATTTAGCCGTTTAAAATCTTATTCAAAATGCCTAAACTATAAATAATGATGTATAAGGGGCTGTCCATAAAGTGCGTTTGGGTCCTGATGGTGGAAAAACGGGTTGGGTGGGGGAGCCTTAGAAAGTTTTACAGTTTGTGATATGGGGAGGGGGGTCTTAGAAAGTGTGACAGTTTGTGAATCGGGGAGGGGGGTCTTAGAAAGTGTGACAGGTTGTGAATCGGGGAGGGGGGGTCTTAGAAAGTGTGACAGTTTGTGAATCGGGGAGGGGGGTCTTAGAAAGTGTGAGAGTATGTGAATCGGGGACTTAGAAAGTGTGACAGTTTGTGAATCGGGGAGGGGGGTCTTAGAAAGTGTGACAGTTTGTGAATCGGGGAGGGGGGTCTTAGAAAGTGTGACAATTTTTTATTTGTGGGGTGAGGTTTAAAGAACATATGTGACGTCAAACATTTTTTAAAAAATCATTCTTAGTTGCCCAGTCTAATGTTTGTGTCTTTAGTTTTAGATTCAATCTAAACTGAGTTACAGCTTCAGTGAAAGATTTTGACAAAATGTTCAACTAGACTTCTAAGTCATTTTAACAATAAGACGTTAACCTTGTAAAAATAATTTAATAGTGAAATGTGTCTAAAATTAGTTATTAATTTTTTCAACAATTTTTTAAAGTTCAAAAGTGTGACATGCTATCTTTTTTTTTTTTCCTGGAAAAAATGGGGGTGTCCGAGAATTGTGATACATTGTGACCGGAGAAAAAAAAAAGAGGGGGGGGAGGGGTAAAAATTGCACCCAAAAAAAGTGACATACTTTAGGGACGGCGCCTAAATAGCAGTGCCACCCGTGGTGGGACAAAAATTTAAGCAGCCCCACTCCACGAAAAAAGCTCGGCAGTTGGCCGAAAATGCCACCCCACCATAAAAAAAAAGAAAAAAATGCCGGGCCAGGTGCGAACTGTCCCATCTCCGTCCCCACCCCAGTGGATTTTCTCTATTAAATTCTTTGTTTCAATTATTAACTGCTACACAATTCAGCTGTATCATACAGCCGTGGTTCTCAAACGTTTCAGTATAACGCATCGGCAGAACGTATCTAACGTATGAGATGTTAGAGTCATGCCAACAGGCTCGACGTGAATGATGGATTTAAAGTGAACGGATTGCAGAACAGCTGCCCAGACGGAAAGCGGCGAGTGATGCACTCTGCGAATCTCAGAGTGAATTCTTTGTATTGCTACGTTCTATGCCTGACATCGCATGGATATTTCGTAGGAATTCTTGTGTATTGGAGAGGGGAGAGGGGGTCAAGGATATCGTTGAAAAAAAGGTATGTGGAAGCTTGGTTTCAGAAACGGGACAATGAGACAAGAACGTTCCGGTCTAAGAGCCTTCATCAGCAGACAGGACAGATGATAGAAGGACAAGAACAAGAAACAAGTTAAAAAACTTAACGGAATCGCTATTTGCTATACCCGGAAGTTGGAGTTTTCGAAACCAAGATTACAGAGGAGCTCACCCAAAGAACAGTTGTAAAATGCAATAAAGAAATGGCGTGTCTCAGTGTTGAATCTACGGCTAACATGATTTTTGTATTGGGAGACACACGAGTAGTGCACTTCGCCATCTCAGCGGCCGATTCAGGGGAGCCTCATAAGACAAGTCTTTATTGCGACCCGTTTGTTTCGCTGTGAACTTTTTAAAATCACACATGACCAATCCACACAAATCGATTTACGTGTTTGCCATTATATTTTTTAAGTATTTACGAAGAGGAATAGATAATTGAAGGAGCATTAAAATGATGAGGGGGGGGGGAGGAGGAGGGGCATCTTCTCTCGAACCCTTGAATCAGGGATTCTCAAGTCTCAAACTTTGTGAATGGTATATCAATTTATTAATTTTTTTTTAAACTGCTCTTCATTTACCGCAATGTTCCTGTTCTGTCATCAGGACTAAGACATGATCAGTGTGTTGTCCTTTTTGTCCAAGCCGGAACACGCCATTTAGTACCCGGTACCACAAAGTAGGAACCGCTGCTGTAAATGGCTGGTAATCACGTCAACACGTCCATAGTAAGGTCACCACCCATCTGCCTGGTAGTGGGCCTGATTTTCATTCGGCAGCCGTTAGTAAGATGAGCAACCATATTCCAAGTTCACAATAGTTTCAGTGATTCTTAACCAGGTCTCAATTTTGAGAGGGGTGTGGGGGTGGGTGGGTGGGTGGGGGTTCTTCCAAATTAATAATGTAGGGCGTTGGGATTTTTCAAAACTAAATTTATCATAAAAATGGCAGCGGCATATTTCACGGGTTATAAATATTTATTTTCTAAAAAGGGATGGGCGAAAATATTAATTATCTTAAAAACAGTGGAGGTTGGGAGGGGGGGGGGAGCTGTTTAAATTTAGAATGGTTAAGAACCACTGATCTATTCTGTGTCCCTTGTCTGCAGACGGCAACACCCCAAAGGAGGCGCCAAAGTCGTCGTCGGCGGCGTCGAGGCAGAGCTGTAACCACGCCCAGTGCAACACGTCCCACTGCACGCTGAACAAGACGGCCAACTTCGACCGGCCGAGCGTCTCTTCAGTCTCCTCGCACCGAAACGACGGCTTCTTCAACGGCGACGGCTGCTCGGTGTCCAGCATCAGCACCATCACCATGGCCGATCTGAGCGTCATGTCGGACATCTCCTCTCTGTAGACTGAGAGGGCGAAGGAAAGTTATCCAACAACGAACAAAAAAAAAAAAAAAAAAAAACAAAAAAAATGACAACTGTCGTAGGTTATGATTTTGATACAAAATTTCAACAAAAAAAATTAAATGTTTTTTTTTTTTTAAATACATTTACCCCGCCCCTTTTTATATGTTCCACACAAATAAAAATACGAGACGAAACCTACTAAAAAAAATATCAAAATGTTACGCAACATAATGAATATAGAAATGTAAAAAAAAAGACAGCAACATACAGTGCTTCCACAAGGAGCTAATCTTTAGTTTTTGAGGGCAGAAGAGAAAAAAAGTCCATTGCTAAGTACTATGATACAGAAAAAATAACAATGATTTTAACAAATTAAATTGTCACCTTGTTGTTTTTTTTTATTATGAACATTATTTAAAAATTGATTACTGTTTTTTTTTTTTGTTTTTTTTTAAAGTTATTTTTTTCCTCGGAAAATAATGTTAGTCTCTATTTAGCGATCTTTCTGCTATACTTTCTGTTGCCGCAGATGAGGAGTCGATAAACTAATGACCCGAGGGCCGAATCCGGTCCATTTCTCATTTAACATATCGTTATACGAACTGGTTTTAACATTTAATTTTTTTTTTTTTATTAAATGTCATATTTACAAGTTAAATTGTAACCAGACGCAGCGATCCTATAGCCGTTCTTCGACTCCTCTGTGACAAACACTCATGTTCACTTCTACTTAGGTGCCGCCAGTGTATAGACGTGACTGATAGATAATGATAGCAGGTTGAGATAATGTCAAGACAAAAAAATGGGAATCAACCACACCTACCAACTGTAAATCTTGATTAAAATACGTTAAAAAAAATAAGTGACACATTGTATGAACCTCTCAAAGGGTTTCTCCATCAATCATGACCAACGTCAAGACAACAATTTTTCACAGAATGAAACATTTGGTATTGTTTGAATTTGTTTCAGACCCAACAGAAATGTATACTGTTACAATCAAGTGTAACTGTCACTTAGACGAGTATATATATAAATATATGGGTTTAACCAAACCCTTAACCGACAGCTTACAAGGATGGGTTTAACCCAACCCTTAACAGCAGCATACAAGTTTTACCCAAATCCTGTGCCCAGCATACAGAGAAGGGCATCACTCATTTCTAGCTTAACGCTCATCATCTTAGCAAGTTAAAGCATAAACAAAAGATAAATGTTCTTATTATTTATTTCATTATTTCAATTCATTTTTTGTATTCAAACAGCTTTAGGGCTATATCATTGTGTAACCATCATCTCCATATCATTGTGGAACATTCCTCAGGCCCATATCATTGTGTAACGTTCCGTAAGCCCATATCATTGTATAACACACGATAGGCCCATATCATTGTGTTACAATCCTAATCTCCATATCACTCTGCAACATTCCCCAGGCCCATATTATTGTGTAACAATCCTAATCTCCATATCACTGTGCAACATTCCCCAGGCCCATATCATTGTGTAACAATCCTAATCTCCATATCACTGTGCAACATTCCTCGGGCCCATATTATTGTGTAACAATCCTAATCTCCATATCACTGTGCAACATTCCCCAGGCCCATATCATTGTGTAACAATCCTAATCTCCATATCACTGTGCAACATTCCTCAGGCCCATATTATTGTATAAAACACCTTAGGCCCATATCATTGTGTGACATTCCTCAGGCCCATATCATGGTGTAACATTCCTCAGGCCCATATGTTTGTGCAACATTCTTTAAATACAGATAGTAACATTTTTTTTTTTTTTAAATGAATAAATAAAAGATGTCCCTGACCTAACAATTTTTTTCTTTTTCAGAAAGTTACAACTGAAGGACTTTTGAATCTCTCTTTTGGATGAGTTTCCACACGTTTTCAACAAAAAGAGTTTACCCACAAGGATTAAATAAGTTACCCTCGTTACATCAGGGGGCTGTTTTGACACCTGGACACAGCAAAAATGAATGCAAATCGCGTTGTGAAGAAAGAAAACAAAAATTGACCATCACTAAATATTTCTTAATCTCAAACTAGGGCCCATGTGTCAATCTACCGTTGACATGTCAATGTTTTAGGGCAAGACGCGCGTGGCTACATTAGATTGATGTAGCGCAGCGCCACATGCCGGTGGCTCTAATATTCCTTCCTAGGTCAAAAGGACAAAGCACCTATGAATAGTTTGTAAAATCATATTTTAAAAAATATATAACGGGTGAAGGTACTTCCAGCAATAAGCAAACTATACAAGAATGTACATTAAAAACTACAACTAATTACAGCCACAAAACAATTCTGTACAAATCAAGTTTATGTATATATCCATCAAATAAAAATGTGAATGCTATTTTGTATTCGACACTTTAGTTTGTGTATGAATAATATATTAACATGTGTGTTAAAATTTTCAGATCAATTAAATTTACTCATTAAATGTTATGTTACATGCGACTGACATTTCCAATAGATCTTTATAGCTATAACATGAACCAAAGCACATTAACAAATTTTAACTGATCAAAGAAACTTTTGAACTATTAAAAACTCTTAAAACTATAAACTTTAAACAGACTACCATCTACATTGATCAGATAAGAAGCTGCAGAAATCTCTGTGGCCCTTGAACAGATCAAACTGACAAGCTGAGGCACATGTTAACCATAGTTTATAACAAAACATTAAGTGTAATGGCCTATAAGCAGGGATGTCATTTGGGTAGGGCAGAGGGCATTCGCGCCTCCCCCCCCCCCCCACCCCTCGAATTTTCAGATTTTATTAAAATTGCTACATACTGTGGCGCCTCCAGTAATAAACAACTCCACAAGCCGGCCAAGTTTTGGTTTTGCCCCCACGACACCCCCCCCCCAAACCAAAAATACCTTAAATGATGCCCCTGCCAATAGGATAACAAATACCCATACAGTTTTTTTTCTTAATAAGAAAAAGCTAAAAATATTTAAAAATAACAATCAGTATACAAAATATATCAGTGAATTTTAGTATTTTTATAACATGATATTAATATAAACATAAATAAACAACCTAGGCATATGAAATGATTAGGAAAAAATTTATGCCATAATTTACATAAATGATTCCGTTAAATAAATATTGAATAAAATCAAATGGATATTTACTACCAGACAGATCCAAAGTGGTTGAGTATCAGTATAGGGAATTTCCATGTAACGATGTCAACACTGTTGCAAGAGAACATATTACAAACCCTGAATGCAATAATTATTATGTCAAGCACCTGCAGGCTTGTAGGTTGTGTCCATTTTAATATACCCCTTGACGATTATCCTATGTGGCTCTAAAAATTTCCCCACTGACACGCCAGCCATCCCGTAATCATTTAAACAGTGTTAACCCATTCAACAAATGTGTAATGCCACCCCCCATCCCACCACCTGGTATATCAGCCTTTTTCAGTAAAAATAGTCTGTCATTATTTCAATACTATGTTTTAAAATATCATGCTATATAGTAAACCCAGAAGCCCACATGATGCTCCATGACGATATAAGCCTAGGTCTATATAACACTGTCTACAGCCAGGAGATGGTTTGCAGATCTTTCGACTACAGAATGAAGATCATGCATAACTGAGGAAACAAATGGTCACACCCTAGAGCAAATTGCTCTTTAAATATACTTCTAATTGAAGGTGTCTTGAGGTTAAACAACAGCATCATTTCTTACATTATTTTGTGATATGTTTATATTGTTTTAAATAATATGGAAAGTGGCACCTAAGTTAAAGAAGAAAGGTTTTTGAAAAACTTACATGACTTCCACCTCCATGAATAGAAATTATTTTGACCTTAGACTGCTTAGAAGAACAAGTTTCCAATAATTAAATATTTGCCACACAAAGAATTACATAATGGATTTACATTTTGCTAAACTTTTAATGGATAGATTTCTATGGTGTGACAATAGTGACAAATGGGGTATAGATCTTCAGCATTTAAAATTTAATATGTGGTGAAATCAACTTTTAACAGTAGCCTACATTAATTTTTTTACCCTTTCATAAAACTTAATTTACTATTTCCATGCAGACTATTGCTTCCCTTTTTTTGTAGGATTGTTTCCCTTTTGACACATCAGATGACCAAATTACCTTACACTAATAGTAACAGGATGATTATGCTGCATACAAATAAACAAGACATGCATCACTTTTACTTTATTAATTTACATTCCCTATAGTATTAAAAAAAACAACTAAAAAGAATCAATGCATGGCAAGTACAAAGGTGAAATAAAGACATTTCTAAATGTGAATTTAACTAAATAGAATTGGTGAAACAAATAATTATCCCCTCCCCCCCATCATCCCCATCTGGACACTATTAGATGAGAGGATTTTTTTTTTTAAATCCCTTACCCTGCAGTACTAAAAAAGGTCTTTGCAGACTCCAAATTTAAAGTACAATAAAAAAAATACAAGAGTATAGTAATAGTAAATACAAGAGTATAGAATTAGTAAATACAAGAGTGTAGTAATAGTTAAATTCAAGGGAAGGACACAGCAAATAAAGTTGTTTATTCCTGCATTAACACAAAAAGTGTTACAATGTTCAGCTTAGCATTCAATGCCTACATTCAGCTTAGCATTCAATGCCCCTGACTAATTTAAAAAAAAAAAAAACAACACAAAACTTTTTTTTTAAAATAAAGTTTTTTATTCCTGCATTAACACAAAAAGTGTTACAATGTTCAGCTTAGCATTCAATGCCTAAATTCAGCTTAGCATTCAATGCCCCTTACTAATTTAAAAAAAAAAAAAACAACGCAAAACTTTTTTTTTTAATGCTGTTTGGTTACAGCAGTTATTTTAATACCATTTGTTGTTGTTGTCTCAAATTCATGCCAGTTAATTTGCATATCTTTGTCTTCAAGGGCATTAGAGATATGTTTTAAGTGTAATAAGTAAGATTACAATAAACTACTAAGATGGAATACAGTTAAATGTGCAGATGTAACAAAATGAATGTGATCATTTCATTAAGACACACGCAACGTGCGAGCAATATATTGGGGCATGAACATCAAAGAATGATTACGATATATATATATATAGTGATTAATTGTAAATATTGGTACAAAAATTTGAATGGCTAAACAGCATCCTATGACCCGCTGGAGTGACCATGAAAAAATTAAATTCTTTTAAATAAATCCCTCATTAATATCAAATAAACAATTTAAATCTGGACCAATAATGATTTCTTATCAAACAGATTGATATTATTCAATATGTTAAAGATTCGATTCCAATCATAAAAAAAACCTGACCTTACCAACTG